CATATTCAAAAATCATTCAAGATGATAATGAAATGTAAGAGTGACACATTATGAAGTATTTAACATCATTCAACACTCACAAAGCATGAGATAATTTCCCAATCCAAAATTTTTATCAACAACTTCTTTTAGATTTCTAAACGTCAATGATAGCATTAAAAAAACAAGAATTTAATAAAAAGAAAATAAACTTTTGTAATTTGAAAGTAGAAAATGATTCATGGTGGTGGTAGAAAGTCCATGATAGGATAAAAAAACAAAAAAACATTTATGTGTGAGTGGTACCTTACATCATTTATTACAACCCCTTAATCTAATGGATCTTTTCTATGGTTTATCATGAACCATTTAGGTGACGACTAAAATTTTAATGTCTTTTATCATTATTTTGAAATAAATATATAAAATTATAAATTTTTGACTATCCCTTATAAAGTTGAGGATAATTCATGTCAAATAAGTATCAACAAATTTACTATTATTTTACAAATTTTTTATGCTAACTTTTTGGATGATGGTTCAATTGAATCTCTCATGTCATCAGCAAATAATTCAACTTTACCATAAAATTAAACAAGTCTTCATTATATATTTATATATACTATATTGTATTATATCTTTCCATGCTACCCCATTTTGTATTTCTCTAGTGACAAATATGATCACACTATTGTAATCTCCTTGCAAATTGATCATTATTGTTATAGAATATCAATCCCATCAGAATAAAGCTAAGGCTCATTTAGTTCCACCACCACATATTATTATTTTTATTTTACTTTAGACAACAAGTATACGACCTATGATTTCTTTTTGCAATCTAAATCTTTCCTTTTTTGTTTTTTCAACTATACATTCATGCACGCTTCTATAAAATACCAAAAAACAGATACACTATTATATTTATTTATTTTTTCTGTTATCTAACTTGCCTCCTCTATTTCATTTGATTTAGTTTTTCACCCAAAGCATTAAAATATAAAAATAAAATAGATGCCATAATATCAAACTCTAAACGTATTCATGATAACAAAAATGTCAATTTTTTAAAAACGATATTAAAAAATCATTCAAGATGGATAATGAAATATAAGAGTGACACATTGTGAAGTACTTAACATCATTCAACCACTTACAAAGCTTGATATAATTTCCCAATCCAAAATTTTTATCAACAACTTTTTTTAGATTTCTAAACGTCAATCATAGCATTAAAAAAACAAGAATTTTAGAAAAAAAAAACTTTTGTAATATGAAAGTAGACGAAGATTCATGGTGGTGGTAGGAAGTCCATGATATGAGAAATGAACTAATTTTTTTTTTGTGTGAGTGGTACATTATATCATTTAGTACTATCCCTTAATCTAATGGATATTTTCCATGGTTTAATATGAACCATTTATGTGACGACTAAAATTTTAATTTCTTTTATCATTATTTTGAAATAAATATATATAATTATAAAATTTTGACTATCCCTTATAAATTTGAAGATAATTCATGTCAAATGAGTATCAACAAATTTACTATTATTTTACAAATTTTTTATGCTAACTTTTTGGATCAGGGTTCAATTGAATCTCTCATGTCATCAGTGAACAATTCAACTTTACCATGAAATTAAACAAGTCTTTATTATATATTTATATATAGTGTATTAGATAAGATCTTTCCGTGCTACCCCATTTTGTATTTCTCTTGTGATAAATATGATCACACTATTGTAATCGCCTTGCAAATTGATCATTATTGTTTTAGAATATCAATCCCATCAGAACAAAGCTAAGTCTCTGTTAGTTCCACCACCATATATTATTATTTTTAATTTACTTTAGACAACAAATACACGACCTGTGGTTTTTTTTTGGAATCTAAATCTTTCCTTTTATGTTTTTTCAACTATAGGTTCATGCATGCTTCAATAAAATACCACAAAACAGATATACAAGTATATTTCTTTATTTTTTCTGTTATCTAACTCGCCTCCTCTATTTTCATTTGATGTAGTTACTCACCCAAAGCATTAAAATATAAAAAGAAACTAGATACCATAATATCAAATTATAAATTTATTCATGATAACAAAAATGTCAATTTTTTAAAAACGATATTCAAAAATCATTCAAGATGGATAATGAAATATAAGAGTGACACATTGTGAAGTACTTGACATCATTCAACTACTCACAAAGCTTGATATAATTTCCCAATCCAAAATTTTTATCAACAACTTCTTTTAGATTTCTAAACGTCAATGATAACATTAAAAAAACAAGAATTTTAGAAAAAAAGTTAAACTTTTGTAATTTGAAAGTAGACGAAGATTCAAGGTGGTGGTAGGAAGTCCATGATATGAGAAATGAACTAGATTTTTTTTATGTGTGACTGGTACATTATATCATTTAGTACAATCCCTTAATCTAATGGATCTTTTCCATGGTTTATCATGAACCATTTAGGTGACGACTAAAATTTAATTTCTTTTATCATTATTTTGAAATAAATAATTTAAATTATAAAATTTTTACTATCCCTTATAAATTTGAAGATAATTCATGTCAAATGAGTATCAAAAAATTTACTATTATTTTACAAATTATTTATGCTAACTTTTTGGATGATGGTTCAATTGAATCTCTCATGTCATCAGTGAAAAATTCAACTTTACCATAAAATTAAACAAGTCTTCATTATATATTTATATATACTATATTAGATTAGATCTTTCCTTGCTACCCCATTTTGTATTTCTCTAGTGACAAATATGATCACACTATTGTAATCTCCTTGCAAATTGATCATTATTGTTTTAGAATATCAATCCCATCAGAACAAAGCTAAGGCTCTGTTAGTTCCACCACCACATATTATTATTTTTATTTTGCTTTAGACAACAATTACACGACCGATTTTTTTTTTGGAATCTAAATCTTTCCTTATATGTTTTTTCAACTATACGTTCATGCACGCTTCAATAAAATACCAAAAAACAGATATATTAGTATATTTATTTATTTTTTCTGTAATCTAACTTGCCTCCTCTATTTTCATTTGATGTAGTTTTTCACCCAAACCATTAAAATATAAAAAGAAAATAGATGCCATAATATCAAATTCTAAATGTATTCATGATAACAAAAATGTCAACTTTTTAAAAACCATATTCAAAAATCATTCAAGATGATAATGAAATTTAAGAGTGACACATTATGAAGTATTTAACATCATTCAACACTCACAAAGCATGAGATAATTTCCCAATCCAAAATTTTTATCAACAACTTCTTTTAGATTTCTAAATGTCAATGATAGCATTAAAAAAAAAAGAATTTAAGAAAAAGAAAATAAACTTTTGTAATTTTAAAGTAGACGATGATTCATGGTGGTGGTAGAAAGTCCATGATAGGATAAAAAAACTAAAAAACATTTATGTGTGAGTGGTACCTTACATCATTTATTACAACCCCTTAATCTAATGGATCTTTTCCATGGTTTATCATGAACCATTAAGGTGACGACTAAAATTTTAATGTCTTTTATCATTATTTTGAAATAAATATTTAAAATTATAAATTTTTGACTATCCCTTATAGAGTTGAGGATAATTCATGTCAAATAAGTATCAACAAATTTACTATTATTTTACAAATTTTTTATGCTAACTTTTTGGATGATGGTTCAATTGAATCTCTCATGTCATCAGTGAATAATTCAACTTTTCCATAAAATTAAACAAGTCTTCATTATATATTTATATATACTATATTAGATTAGATCTTTCCATGCTACCCCATTTTGTATTTCTCTAGTGACAAATATGATCACACTATTGTAATCTCCTTGCAAATTGATCATTATTGTTATAGAATATCAATACCATCAGAATAAAGCTAAGGCTCATTTAGTTCCACCACCACATATTATTATTTTTATTTTACTTTAGACAACAAGTATACGACCTATGATTTCTTTTTGGAATCTAAATCTTTCCTTTTTTGTTTTTTCAACTATACATTCATGCACGCTTCTATAAAATACCAAAAAACAGATACACTAGTATATTTATTTATTTTTTCTGTTATCTAACTTTCCTCCTCTATTTCATTTGATTTAGTTTTTCACCCAAAGCATTAAAATATAAAAATTAAATAGATGCCATAATATCAAACTCTAAACGTATTCATGATAACAAAAATGTCAATTTTTTAAAAACGATATTAAAAAATCATTCAAGATGGATAATGAAATATAAGAGTGACACATTGTGTAGTACTTAACATCATTCAACCACTCACAAAGCTTGATATAATTTCCCAATCCAAAATTTTTATCAACAACTTTTTTTAGATTTCTAAACGTCAATGATAGCATTAAAAAAACAAGAATTTTAGAAAAAAAACTTTTCTAATATGAAAGTAGACGAAGATTCATGGTGGTGGTAGGAAGTCCATGATATGAGAAATGAACTAAATTGTTTTTATGTGTGAGTGGTACATTATATCATTTAGTACTATCCCTTAATCTAATGGATATTTTCCATGGTTTAATATTAACCATTTATGTGACAACTAAAATTTTAATTTCTTTTATCATTATTTTGAAATAAATATATATAATTATAAATTTTTGACTATCCCTTATAAATTTGAAGATAATTCATGTCAAATGAGTATCAACAAATTTACTATTATTTTACAAATTTTTTATGCTAACTTTTTGGATCAGGGTTCAATTAAATCTCTCATGTCATCAGTGAACAATTCAACTTTACCATGAGAAAGAATCAATGCTTGCAATATGTTGGACATGAATTCAGTTGGTCATTGGTTCACTTGGAGAGGTCCTATTTTCCATGGGGGAAGTAGAATTTTGAGCGTCTTGATAGAGCTTTTTGTAGTGCTGCATGGAGAACCCAGTTTCCAGATGCTTTTGTTAAGGTCCTAACAAGAGTTGATTTTTCTGACCACCACCCAAGAGTCATAAATCTTCAAGATCCGTCTATGCATGAAGGAAATAATAGGTTTCATTTTGAAAGCGCTTGGTTAGTTGAGGATACATATCATGATTTTGTAACAAAAGTTTGGAATAACAATTGCCTTTTGGTTGAGAATTTGGATCAGATTAAAAGTCAAGTTTCAGGTTGGAAGAAGTTTACTGTGAAGAGTGTTAAAGGCCACAAAAAACATCTTCTTGGTAGACTTAGTGGTATCCAGAAGGCTTTCCAGGAAGGGAGAGGGCACCAAGGTTTAATCACTCCTGAGAAGTATCTCCAGTAAGAGATTAACAGGATTCTCCACCAAGAAGAATTAATGTGGTTTCAACGGTCCAGATCCAAATGGTTGGTTGACGGAGATCGGAATACTAAGTATTATCACATTAAACCAACCCAAAGAATAAGAAGTAATCAAATTACTTTGATAAAGGATGCTAATGGTTTATGGACCGATAAAGCCGAGAAAATTGGCAAACTTTTCAAAGACTTCTATCAGGACCTTTTCACCAAGGATCTTGACACATACCAGTGGTTAGATACTGTCAACAAGTTTCCCAATTTGAGCGCAGAAGTTATGGCGAAGCTTAATAGTCCAATTGATAACGGTGAAGTGAAGAAAGCTCTCTTCAATATGGCTCCTTGGAAGGCTCCTGACCCAGATAGTTTTCCGGCGGGGTTTTTTCAAAAATCATGGTCAATGATGAGTGATAATATGTGCAATTTTATTCAGAAGTTGTGGAACAATCCAGCCAGCATTAAAGAGGTCAACCAAACTGAGCTAATTTTTATCCCCAAAGTCAATCTCCCTACTCAGGTTCATTAATTCAGGCCCATTTCCTTGTGTAATTCGGTGTATAAATGCTTGAGTAAAGTTGTGGTAATAGACTGAAAGAATGCATAGGTGATATTATTGGTCCCTTTCAAACGGATTTTATACCTAGAAGAAGCATTCAGAATAATATGGTTTTGGCCCAAGAGCTTGTGCATAGTATGAATTGAAGACAAGGCAAAGTAGGTTCTTTTGTAATAAAGGTGGACCTCGCCAAGGCGTATACAATCTTAGCTGGAGTTTCGTTCATAAAACTTATACTGAGGTGGGTCTTCCGCATTCCCTTATACAGATTATTATGGACTCCATCTCTTCTGTTTCGATGAGCATTAGATGGAATGGCAATCAATCGGGTTATTTTAAGTCTGAGAAGGGCCTTCGACAGGCAGGATCCAATATCACCCTATATTTTTGTTATCTATATTGATAAGCTGTCTCACATGATTATGGGTTCCGTGGAGAGTAGCAAATGGAAAGGTATTAAGGCTGGGAAGAAATGCCTCCCGATATCACATCTGATGTTTGCTGATGATCTCCTCCTCTTTGGAGAAGCAACTGACAATCAAATGGATTTTCATTAAACAGGTGCTGGATAAGTTCTGCAATACCTCTGGTCAACGAGTCAGCAATGAGAAAACTAGGGTGTTATTTTAGAAAAATACTCCAAAGCATAGCAGACGAGAGCTTATTGGTATCTCAGGCTTCAAAGAGGCAAATGAGCTGGGGAAGTGCTTGGGGATGCCCATCACTGGGAGAAGCCCGAAATCAAAAGATTTTAACCATATTCTGGAAAACATCAGGAACAAACTATCAACTGGAATGCTAGTAATTTATCTTTTGCAGGTAGGGTGACGTTAGCAAAGAAGGTGGTGGAAGTAATTCCTACTTACTCGATGATGACGTACTCTCTTCCTTAGAAGTGTATCAAAGAGATTCACAAAATTCAGAGAAACTTCAATTGGGGCCATAAAGACGAAGAGAAGCATATCCATGGAGTAAACTGGAAAACTATCATGCATCTGAAGCAAGTCGGAGGTTTGGGATTTTGCAACCTAAATTTCATGAACAAAGCTTGTCTCTCTAAGCTGGTTTGGAAGCTTATGTCAGGTGAAAACAACCTTTGGAGCCAGGTCGTAAAAGCTAAATATGATAGAGAGAACAATAATCTTGTTACTGTTAGCGCAAAGCCTAATGATTCAGGTTTGTGGAAACAAATTGACAACATTTGGCCAGTGCTGCAAGAGATGGCATACTGGGATATTGGTAATGGTAACAGTGTTAGCATCTGGAAAGACTGTTGGTTGAAGTCTGGGCACCTCATCAACATGGAGGAAATCAACAGTAGTGCTCTGCAGCTGGTAAAAGTCTCTGATCTGGTCGACATCAATAAAGAGTGGAACTTAAGTTTGCTTCATAGTTTCCTTGACATGGAAACAATTGAGGAAATTACGGCTATTCACCCTCCCAGAGATTATCATGGCGAAGATGCTTGCCTTTGGAAAGGCACTGCTAATGGATTTTTCACAATATCCAATGCTTATAACCACACGTGTAATGTTACACAGGATGGAGGTAACACTAAATCCTGGAAGCAAATTTGGAGATCGAAAGTTCCTGAAAGAATCTGAACTTCTATCTGGTTGGTGAACCATGAAAGAGTGCTGACGAAAAGTTATCTTCAGAGACTATCTATATCGGATCCGTGGTGTGATGATTGCTACAGAGTCGTAGAAGATCTTCAGCATGTCTTACGGGATTGTCCTATGGCTAAAGATGTTAGGAGTCAGATGGTTAGTAAGCAAGTTTGGGGAGTGTTCTTTGTATGGAGTTTACAAGATTGGATTACGGGCCATTTATCCAACAGATTTTCTACCGATACTCAAAAAATGTCAGGAGAGACTTGGGCCACTGCTTGCCACCAGTTATGGTTTTGGAGGAATAAGAGAAAACATGATGATGGTTTTGTTATGCCAAATGATTTACTAGGATGATTCATAACAGTGTTAAGGAATATGGAGTCAGTGTGAGGCTCCATCAAAACATTTTCTTGAAGCCACAAGTGGTGAAGAACATTGTGTGGTCTCCGCCACCCCCTCAGATGGTTTTTTATGAATGTTGATGGGACAATTAATGAGGTAGCAAAGGCAGCTTGTGGAGGTCTTATCAGAGACCATGATGGGACGTGGTGCGGAGGTTTCTCTAAAATATATTGGAGTGTGCAACATAGAAGTCGCTGAAGCCTGGGGGATTTTGGAGGGTGTCAAACTTGCAATCAGGCGTGGCATCAAGATTTTCCAAGTTCAATCGGAAAACAAAATGGTGATTGATAGCATTAATGAGAAGCGAGCACCCATAGGAACTTCTAAAGGTTTGATCAGTCATAATCTTCAAAAGATAAAGAAGGTCATATTTGTTAATTTCATTCACGTTTTCAGAGAAGCTAATCAATGTGCAAATGCCTTAGCTAGACGAAGTTTTCATCGAGAGATTGGTTATCATGTTTATGAGGATTGCCCGGATGTGTTATTTTCTCTGTTTGGGCAAGACTTGGTAGGGGTTATAATCCCAACAATTATTCCATTGTAGTTTTTTTTTTTGTTGGGTTTAGACCCTCCCTTTTATAAAAAAAAATGATATTGAACGGGATTTGCAAACATCATTACATCATCTTTATTGCTATATTATGAATTTAATTATAAAGAGATGGAATATGGCAAATAGTATTTGGCCGTGCCTCAATCTTCTTTGTTCAATAAAATAATGAATTTTGTTTGAGTAAGTGAAAAATAATTATTTATGTTTTTATTTATTCATTATATATTTCGGATTAGATTGTACTATAATTTTTAAATGTGATGTGTCTTTTTTTATTATTTGACTATTGATGATCGATGATATTAGTGAGTGAAATGAAAAGGAATTGAATGCTTAAAAGTAGGAAAACATATTAGCCGTTCTCCATTACAAATTTATTTTAATGGTTAAAAATAAGGTTTCTTTTGCTTTTTTATTTCCAGATAAATATTTAATTCCATCTCATTATTTATTTAATATTTCATTTTTCCTCATTATTTTAAATATTTTATAATTTTTCTTTAAATTTTTTAGATTCTATTATTAAATAATATAAATTTAAAAGTTATAAAATAACACTCATATATTTTAGTTTTATAAGTTTTTGTTTGGTTACAGAGAGGGTTGAAGTCCAAAGAGAAAAAGAATCCACAAACTCTTTGATGCAATTTGGAATGGTTTCACCAGAATCATGATATTCAAAATTATTAACTCCAAAATTAGCAAGCACATTTGTACATTGGTTTGCTTCCCTATAGTTGTAACTAATCAAAATCTCTTCATGAACATCCATCAACTTGTAAATTTGAAGAAACATTCAGTAGCTATCCACACCCAACGTGCAACGTGCTTCGAGCAATCAAAGTACAATAGAGGTAGAATCAATGCTTAACTCTACATTCAATAAACCCAACCTCCTTGTCATTTTTAATCCTTCAATTATCCCCCATAACTCTGCCGCAAAGCATTGCACCGACCAATGTTTCTCGAGAAACCTCCCTTAAGATTCCCATGATTATCCCGGATGATTCCTCCACACCCAGCTTTCCCATTCTCCTTACTTGCCCCATCAATATTCAACTTAACCAATTTTCCACAGGCGGAATCCAATTGAAAGAGACTTCTTCCCTCTCCCTACAAATCGTAATATGATGATTACTCATAGCTTTATCATACTCCAATGTAAGAAGTTGTAGAGTAGGGTCTTTGATAAATCTCTCCATGAACCTCCTTCTTGATAAATATGAATCAGACTTTTTTTACTTTCTAACTTCTTGTATATTGCTCTTATTGATAAATTACACACTCTTGGTCTTTTGTAGACTCAAAACAAAAAACTATTACAATTCTAAAACAGTAAATTAAATTAAACATAATTGCTACATAACTACTAAAAACGATTGCCTTTCCTACTTCCATAGTTAATTCCCAATTATTTATTTCTAACCCATTTAATGTTTTTATTTCAACAAAACTCCTCCTTAAACATTAAATGCTTCTTCGATCCAGCATCCCAATCATCTTCCTGCCTCTTTCGAATACTTCTCTTGCAAGTGGTTTTGTAAGGATGTCAGCTGCTTGATCTTTTCTTGCCACATGCCTTAGTTCCACGCTTCCTTCTTTCACATGTTCACGTATGAAGTGAAATCGAACGTCTATATGCTTGCTTCGTTCATGATTGACTGGGTTCTTTGCCAGCTCAATAGCTGATTTGTTGTCCACGTGTATTATTGTTGGACCTTCCAGTTTCAGCTCCATCTTACTTATCAATCTTCTGAGCCACACTGCATGGCAAACGCACCAAGATGCTGCCACGTATTCTGCTTCACACGTTGAAAGTGTCACTATTGGCTGCTTCTTCGATAGCCAAGTGAAAGCTGTGTTTCCCATGAAAAACACGTATCCTGCAGTGCTCTTTCGATCATCAATGTCTCCACACCAGTCACTGTCAGAATATCCAACTAGCTTGTAGTCTTCAGTCTTTGAATAAAATATCCCAAGTGATACTGTTCCTTGGATGTATCTCAGAATTCGTTTCAGTGCTTTCCAGTGTGTGTGAACTGGCTCCTCCATGAATCTGCTCACTATGCCAACACTAAGTGAAATATCTGGCCTTGTGCATGTGAGATATCGAAGGCTGCCTACCAAGCTTCGATATTTGCTTCCTTCGACCCGTTCTCCTCCATCAAACTTCGACAGCTTTGTGCCTGGCTCCATTGGCGTCGAAATTGGATTACAATTCTTCATTTTATACTTTTCTAGGATTTCCTTTGCATACTTTTCTTGTGATATGAAAATCCCATCTTCTTCCTGTCGAACTTCCAGGCCAAGGAAAAATCTCATCAGACCTAAGTCTGTCATTTCGAATTCTCTTGTCATGGTGTTTTTGAAGTCTTCGATCATCTTAATGTTATTGCCTAGAAAAATGAGATCATCAACGTACAGTGCCACAAGTAATAAATCACTTCCATTTTTCTTCACATAGAGCGCTGGCTCATAAGGGCATTGCTCGAATCCACTCTCCTTAAAATATGTGTCTATGCGTGTGTTCCATGCCCTAGGTGCTTGCTTCAGCCCATACAATGATTTCTTCAGTTTCAACACCTTCTTCTCTTCTCCAGCTCTCATGTATCCAAGTGGTTGTTCCACATAGATTTCTTCTTCGAGCACACCATTCAAAAATGCTGTCTTGACATCCATTTGAAATATTTTCCATTTGAACTGAGCAGCTTGAGAGATGAGTAGTCGAATTGTCTCCATTCTTGCGACAGGCGCGAATACTTCGTCATAGTCAATACCAGCTTTCTGCTTGTATCCCTTTGCAACCAGTCGTGCCTTGTATCTTTCGATCTCTCCTTGAGCGTTCATCTTTTTCTTAAATACCCACTTTACACCAATGGGTTGACATTCTTTTGGTAATTCGACAAGCTCCCAGGTTTTGTTGTGTTCGATTGCTTTAATTTCTTGATCCATGGCGCTTTTCCACTTTTCATCTCTTAATGCTTCTTCAACACTTATGTTTTCAGCATCTGCCAGGAGACACACAAGATGCACCTCACTTGTTGACTCATACAGATCTTGCAAACTTCTCATCTTAGGTTGTAGAGGTTCATCTCTTTCTTCTGTTTCTTCATGTTCTTCTGAAATTCTAGTTGGTACAGCTATAGTGGTTTCTTCGACTGTATCAACAACCTCTGTCGAACTGTTCCAGTCCCACTTGCTGGCTTCATTCATTCGAACGTCTCTGCTTACAATTACTTTCTTGCTTATAGGGTTGAACAGCTTGTACCCTTTCGTCTTCTCATCATATCCAATAAATATGAACTTCTGGCTTTTGTCTTCGAGCTTTGTTCTTCGTTGGTCTGGTACATGCGCATAAGCTATGCTACCAAATACTTTGAGATGGGAGATTGTTGGCTTCTGACCACTCCATGCTTCTTGTGGTGTTTTGTCTTCTAGCTTCGAATGTGGACACCTATTCTGAATGTAAACAGCACATTGTACTGCTTCTGCCCAGAACTCTTTCAGCATACTCTTGCTTTTAAGCATTGATCGAACCATGTCAAAGATAGTTCGATTCTTCCTTTCAGCCACACCATTCTGCTGAGGTGAATATGGCGCTGTAAGGAATCTTCTTATCCCCTGTTCTTCACAGTATTTTACAAAGGCAATCGAAGTATACTCTCCTCCTCTGTCTGATCGAATTGCTTTGATGTTTCGATCTGTTGCCTTTTCCACCATCACTTTGAACTTCTTGAATACTTCGAGTGCTTCAGATTTTTCTTTCAGAAAATAGACCCAGGTTTTTCTTGAGTAGTCATCGATGAAGGAGATGAAGTATCTTTTTCCACTGAATGATTCTGGGGTAATTGGCCCACAGATATCAGTGTGTATCAATTCGAGTATCTGTTTGGCTTGATACTCTGCCTTCTTCTGAAATGATGTTCTGGTTTGTTTGCTGAGCACGCATTCTTCACAGAATTTTCCTTCGAACTCCATGTTTGGCAATCCATGCACCATGTTCTTCTTCGCCAACCTTTTCAGACCAGCATGA